ATTTATAATTATTAGACATATTTATGTAGAAAGAGTTATGTAAAAGAATGTAATACCTCGGAATGTATTCACATTCTTTATCAGATTAAATAGAATAAATAGATAGTGACACAGAAATATTATTTCATCTATCTTTATCAACTTAAGAAAGTTTTCTTTTCGATAGTCTGAACACAAATAACAGTTATCTACAATTTGTATATAAAAGGGTTGGCGACACAACGGGCACAAATTCTCGACGCAGTGATTATTTTAGGAAAATCTTTACGAAATGTAAGCGAAGTCGTGAGTTGGGTGGATTTGCCGGCGAAGTCTTAACGCACAAAGGACACTCGAGTACCCCTTACCTTACTCGAGTTCATGTACATGAATACAAGATTCATTATATATTTTAAGGTAAAGTTAGGAAACTTTGGGAATAATATGCCATTCAACGACATTCATCTAGGGAAACTGCCACTTTACCTATTTTTGCGGCCAAGCAGCAATGTGAGCATTACTGCGTTCCGGTTTTGAAGTAGGGATGCACATTACGATCAGATTTTTATGACGATCAATTCCATTGAGTACTATGTAGCGATTTTTTTAATAGATTAATTTCAATGCGATTTTTAAGCAAATCGATTCAAAATTAAAGGATTAGCATTTGTAAAAAGCAAATCAATTATATTATTTGGCAATTAAATTATGTAATAAATGTGTTTAATTATTACAAATTTTGAAACGATTTTTGTGAGATCGAATCAAGAGCATACCACCCTATCCGTGGATCGCTCCGTGAATCGATTCAGAGGCATACGATCCATTACGATACAAAAAATCGTGCATGCCTATTTTGAACGGTAAACGGTTGAACGGTAAGGGTGCTCTGGTGAAATGACAGGCACATGGGATTCGTTAACTTTACGTCTCATGGTGAAGTGCGGTGCCCCTTAGATCCTTGACATTTAAAGCTCTGAGTGGCGCTGCAACTGTTATGTAATAGCGGTGTCCCTAACCACCAGGTGCACGACTTGTTTGTCCTGTCACTTAATATCATAAAAAAATCTGACCCTGAGCCCTTAGCCATTGTCTTCCAGACACTCTCATACATCATTAGACCGACAGACTAAAAAGTTCACCAAGTAATGTTTATGCAATAATAAACTTGCAACAAACAAGTGTGGGAATTTCCTCTACAGTAAGAACTGGTACTCATAAGTACCATAGCAATCCAGTTAACTGAAATATCTTCATAACTGTATTTTCACGAAATACACAGAAACTTATGCAGGGAAATAAATATAGAACTTAACAAAATGGACTCCTAATGAAAAACAATCACTTTGCCACTAAAAACAAGATCAGTGAACAGTAAATATTTTTCTTAGCAAATGCTAAACATGAAAATCTTTACACTAAATCACTTCAAATTAAGATAATTTTCGTTTCAGCGAGAATTTGTACGTCACGATTTAAGAGTTCAACGTACTCATATAACGGTTTTTATGAACAAGTAACATATATGTGAAAAACCTCATTAAAATTTAAGCTATAAACAGAATTTTTTGAATATTTGACAGAATTACGAAGAAAACATGTGGTGGACATGAAAAATTTGGTTACCGTCCAAAAAGGTGATATTTGAATAGAATATAAAATAAGAAAAAAAAACACTACTGAGATACCCTATTTCCAATAAAAAAGAATCATCAAAATCGGGTCACAAATTATACAAAGTTATCGCGTAACATACATACATACAAAAAGACTGTCGAATTGAGAATCTCCTCTTTTTTGAAGTCGTTAAAAAGACGACGAAGATCTGATCTTTCAATGTCCTTATTATGTTCTGACATAATAAGGACATTGAAAGGGCATGCGACAAATCAAAACAAATTCAATGAAGTCCCACAGCCCGCATCATACAAATAACATATCCGCTTTGTAAAATCTTAATAGATGAAGAGAGCGGATCTTCATAGAAACATTAAAGGAAAAGTCTACAGCAAACTGGAAATATAAAACGATGCTGTTTTGAAACTTGTTTTTGGATAGACGAACGTATTTAATCATCTTCGTAGCTTGTATGATATTCTTCCCCTGTTCATTCCCGAACTCTTAAATCAACTTTAAATTATGTTAATTCCCATTTATCATTGTTCGTTGTGATAATATAAAATAACATAAGGTCTTAAATGCCGTTGTACCTATAAGTAATATAAAGATAACTAAACAGTCCTGTAACATCAAAATAGCTTGTACTTTCTCTCAATGTACTCTCACAATACTCGTTGAACAACAGGACCTGCAGTAGCTTCTAAAATGACTAAGCGTAAAACTCAATTTTGACGAAATCTAGAAAGGGCACAACCAATAAACAGAAAGAAAAAACTGCGTCTTTTGAGAAGGTAATTAAACACATATTGACACAAAGTCAACCTATACGAATTTGACAAAGATCTGAGGTTCTGAACATCGACTCTGCAACTTGAAAACTGCAAATACAAAACTATTATAAATAATTTGACATCAGGACACGATCCCACATCAAAACAGTATACAGATGAACAATGGATATGTCAACAATGACCTACAGCGAATGAATCACAAGGCAGTGTCCCCGTTGATAGTCGATCACAAGATCTAGCGGTTCTTTGTACTGCTAATTACTCTCATGTGACATGAAATGTATGCAGTCATCTAGGGGTTAGCGCGTCGTTAAATACCCTGATGCCGTGCCGTGAAATAGTTAACCGCGATGTTGCTACGACACACGCGTTAACGTTAAGCATTTGTCACAGAATAAAAATTGAAGCCAATGAAATTTATAACTAACGCGTTATTCAGCCATTTGCTTTAAAAAAGGAGACAAAGTTTAAACCTCTCCGTGTCAGGTCATCAAATAGATACATCAAGTATCCCAGACAAAAACATTCAAATATCCTTGCGAAGTTGTGACACTCCCCATACACTACATCCATAACAAAATATAACAGTGATGGTAATACCATTGAAATCTTAAATCTTTTTCTCGAAGATTCAACCGATAGTCAGATTTCAGTAAGACTCGATGGCGCATTGTTCCATCCCATATTCACATTTCCGTGCTTTGTTTGCAATCGCTAAACAATATTCGACGACAATGTTTTGATATTCCGTGTTCACATTTCCTTTGGTTGTTTAGTAAATAAGAAACAAGAATGGACACAAGAAATTTATCCACCGATTTAGTGAGACCATACAGGAAATGGCGGGAAAAAAATACAGTGGTATTTCAAACAGAGAAGGATCCAATGAAAATACAACAATGTCTGATTCTAGTTAGTGACGTTGAAGTGTCACTGACCGGAGGCATTCGATGCAAAAACTGCGATAAAAGACGATCGAGTCATAAGAAAAAATAGTACAATAGAAGCAATCACTAATTCATTAATTCATTCATTCATTCATTCATTCAAGAAGTTGATATGCCTACAGAATTTTTCTCATTGTGTAAGTGTTGCAAATTCTATTAGTCTGTATTTATGTTTAAAATAAACAAAGCAGCCTGCACACATCTGAGATGTGTAGTATACCGAAATAGTTTCATATCAAAACATAAATAATGATATCAATCATTCAACCCAATCATTCATCCTACTACATTAGTAGCTGACAACGAATCGACGAGAAAATATTGCGTTTGTGGTGGAATTCTTATGCTAAACGCATTGCCTGAAAGACATTGATTCATTACAGACGAAGCCTACATTGTTAGGACCATTCATTAAACAAATTGTATCTTGAAAACTAGAAAATAATGACGTCATAATGAGACATTTATTTAATGTTGTTCTTATCTCTGACAGGGTTAATTCACAGTTAAAACATAGTTACACCATAAAACTCAGTCATACATTATAATATGGAATGTGCTGAGCAAATTTAACATTAAGTTTTGGCTTGACCAAGGTTGGAATGGAAACTTTTCAGTCATTGTTCAGTTAATTCCGCGCTTCATTGTCAAAAAATCTCAACAATACCCACAGATTGACTAAAGCGTTTTTTATACAAATTACATGAATGAATAACACGAGTATACTGAAAAAGAAAAAAATACACAAGAAACAAATATTAATATCTAAGACACTCGTACCAAGACGCTGTTAGAATCGTTCTCTAAAATAATAGTGGAAAATAATCGTGCTCACAACTTTTTCAATGGTTCACTTTGATATGCTTAGTACCTGTGCTATGTAATATTAGGATTCTTTCAAAGAACCAAAATAGTAAGAAACTTCTGTTTCAAAGTGTACAGGAGAAAAAGCGTGAGGACGCATCGAGTAGTTTCCAGCATTTACAATGTTCGCACCTAAGTCCATTATCTATTCTTGAAGTCCAAGTTACCTTTGACGATGATGTATACATTTTGTACATTAGATTGTGAATACTTGTGATATAAACAGTGAAGTGTTTAGTAAGCAAAGTAAACGTGTTAGTTTGAACAGTGTTCCTAATTTCGTTTCATCAAAATTTGATTAAACAACAAACCTTTGTATACATAAATATCCTTCACTACAGTATTATTATATCCAACCACATTAACTAAAACACACACATAGCCATTACCAGTACCCTTGACAAATCTACAACCCACGACCTTGAATATTTGCCTTGTCACAAGTGCCAAGCAAGCCAAGCTAAAAAAATAGCAAGATCTTATAAGTACATACAATCGAATTTCATACATGTAATCTGAATAAATGTGAAACCGTCGAAAGCGCTAGAGTTTCTGGAATCTTGGTCATCAAGTATACCAGGACAGACGAGTTTCCAGGACCATATTATGAGTGTAATAACATTGGTTATTAAAGTGGTTACATTTTCTTCTCAGGTACCCATTTATCCAGGTGTAATCTTTATTAATTAATATTTTGAAGAACTGGACACTTGCTACAACAAGCAACCCAGGACCATGCTATAAGTCTACAATCCAACTACGAACATATAGTAAAATTACAAATTGGACAACTACTAACCAAGGCAGGAATTCCAGGGATTCTTGTTTATCCCGTAAACTAGGGAATAAATCAACCAACAGTTTAGCTATACATTTCATGGTTACAGTCAAACGATTATATTATTCGAGATTTTGGATTTAGTGGAATCTTAGCATTCTTCTTAACTAGTGTCAAAATTGAAATCAGCGTCAGCATGCATTACATCTTGTTTTTCTGAATTTGCTATTATGCGCTACTTTTTTGTCCTTTTTAAATATTTTCCATAAGTTAGTCTTCCAACGTTACGTAGCGCAATTTTAATCAAGTGCAACAAATTAGCCTTGTCTATGTTCACATAAAAATGTTAAAGACGCCGCCGCGGTTGAAATATAAACAGTAAATATTTACATGAGGCTGTGAGTGCGACCTTTATCAAATAATAAAAATGTCAACTTTATCCGAAGATGTTGATGGATTGCTAGTGCCCGCGGGCGTCTGTACTTCGATTACGATGGAACAAAGATATAAATTATATATGTCACAGCTATAGTACACGAGTAATAATCAACAGTTGAAGGCTAATTATGCTCACATTTGATGCGAAACTTAATTGCAGACGTATGTAAAATGGTGTTTTATTTAGGTCACAAACTGAGAAAATTTTCATGTTTTGAATCTTTAGCATTTTATTCAACAAAACCGTTATACGGTGTAAATAAGACTGCAATTCAATTTCACTCGCCCTGGATAGTTGGGGAATAAGTCGAGTGGAGTGAGTTAACACTCGTGCCGTATGTACACACGTATACATACCCTAGCTGGACGTGTCCCATATGTCTGTTCGGGTCGTCGGATATCAGGGCTCGCGTCATCGATTCAGTGGTATTGGCACCACCCTCGTGCTAGCGGACAAACATAAACATAAACAGACATACAAACATAGGCCAGACGACGTCACACTTCACGTAAATCCCACGAATATTGTCTCTAGAATTTGAAGTGTTCCAATGCCTGTTGTAGTAAAAAAAGTAGCGCCATCGCGTCACCACAACGAGTGCTGGACATACTTAGCTACTATAAATTCTAAAAGCAACTTCTTGTTAGTGTCTACTACTTTGTGTTTAATACAGTGTAGAAAATCCAAATAAAAATAATAATAACTAAATAAACTATAATTGCTTTCGAAATAACCTCTTCGTGATCTAGGCTACAACAATGAGTATAAATCATAACGGCATGCACAGATGAAGAGTTTACAGAAAGCATGACTGAATGAAAATAAAAATGAATGTCGCCAATGTCCTTTTGTACCGACCTGAAAAACCGATGGACTTCAAAAATAAATACCTCTGAGATTAAACATTGTTGTTAGTTCAAAACTCACTCAGGCAGCAGTTGGTTAGCACGCTCTGTAGGGGTTCAATTCTATATCTACACATTAGAACCAAGGGGACAGAATGCTTGAAGGAATGACAACGAGAGACAGATCGCGTCATCGTCAATTTGATATGTGCTGATGAGAGACTGCCCCACAATGTGCACAGTATTCACGAGTAATCAATACATACATATATATAAAACTGGCGACAAATCGATGTGCTCACGTTGCCGTTAACTCGAGCACTCCCGCCCCACTTTCTGCAAGGTGTATTTGCGGTGCTACGCTAAGCTGTCATTCCGTCACACAAGAAGTCAAGAGGTGTTTTGTAGATGATATACTATAAACCGGCCGACTCCAATGCTTGCCTGAGTGGTGAGCGGTAGACTCCCGTATCAGCGTCACAGTACAAGCGCTGCAAAATATAACATCGATCTAGGAGATGTTTCGACTTCCTCTCACAATTCGACCCGATTAATTGTGACATAAAACTGGAAATTATAGTTCACTTGTAAGACATAGATTTGTAAACTGATTGTAATAGGCTGGGATGGGATATTTGTACTCAGATAGTATTTACCAGTAGCAAACTAAAAATTCCAGCTTAAAAAGAGGGAAGTCAAAGCGTCTCAGAGAAGGTTTATAGTCAATCTGAGCATACCCCAGCTTGAGCGCTTGCCCTCCTGCCATGAGTCCCTCCTCCCCAAGTAGAGTCACTTGTTCCTCCTCGCGTGACGGGTCCGCCATCTTGTACACAGACACGCCATAATGGCGCCAAGGTCAAAGACGTGTCCAATATCAGTGCCACAACTTTAATTGACTTTGAAGCAAAAATTATGAAGGAATATAAATTATTTCAATTCATGTTAATAGCCTTGCGCATTTCTGGCATAAAATAAAATCTAACAATGGACATGGTTGTGGCATTGACGTCGGGCAGACAGGAGCCAATCAATTATAAAATAAACGTAATTTTGAAGCCCACTCATTGGTCTTTTACTAATTTAGTTTATGTATTCAAGTGCCTAAAGTATCAGTAAAGAAAGACCCATGACCTTTATTGTGAGGAAAAGTTAATAGAGTGAAAATTCTGTGATTGAAGTACCTCATTAGTAGTATCAACGATACTGTTACGTGTGCTTAAATTCTGGATTTTTGAAATAGTGAATTAATATCGAGTATTTTATATTGCATCAATTTCATGAGACACTAAGCAAAACATTGCGACAAATTAAAACTTATGATGATTAAAATAATAAAAACGTTATTTGAGACATCTCCGTGGAGCTATTTTTTTTCTACAACAGCAGATTTTATCTTGGCTTTGTACTGGTAACCCCACAACCCGTTGTCTAGAATCGGTATTCACGCAGCGCACAGCTTTCCACGTGCATTAACGTAGTCATGTAGTCAATTATATTCTAAATCATCATTAAATTAGTACCTAGTATAATACGTCTATGCTATATCAGGTATTACTTATGACGTCTAGTAACAAAAAACAAGCAGATCAAATGATCGAACGAAAGTGTGTTCAAATAAATATAATTATGCTGTTATTTGTACACATAAGTAAATGATTGCACGAATATCGTGTCAGTATCTTATCTTTTGATAAATTTGTAGGTACAGCACGTTTTCAGTACACCGCAAGGGTAAAACCACGACGTTTAAAATTAAATACAAAATATCAGCTTGATTACAACAAATCGGTCATGCCTTACCTAAACAGTGTTACAAAAGGAAATCATGTGATTCCTGATTTCTTACGTAAAAGCTTAATTGACAATTCGTGAGCGGTAACACGTTAATGTTTTTAAATTTTAAGACCTCCATGAAATAGCAGTATTTTCTTCTTAATACGATTTCTTGTCCTATAGCTACTGCCTTTAGGAGAGTCCTGGAAATGCCGTTTACCAACGCCTAAAACGTGAGCGAGAAACAAGTACGCGAAATAAAGTACATAAATTGTTGATATCCTAAAGCAATTATCCTACAGCAAAATAAAAAATGCAGAGATTTACATTCCATATACATACCTCGTCAAAGAAGACTTGGGTTTTTCTAAGGATGTGCTTGAGCTCAGTCAGCTCTAGATAGTTTCTCTTCAGGGCTTCAGCGTTTTGATTCACTTCACGGCACTCGTTTTCGAGCTTTTCAAAGGTGGCCTGGATAAACATATTAAGTAATGTAGTAAAGAATATGCATTATTTCTATGGTTAAAAATTCATGAATGGTGGCGGATCGTCCCTGGTAATGGGATTCCTCTTACTTCTCATTGAGTCGTCAATTTGTCCTAGGACTTTTGTTTTGTATAACGGATATTGGGGGCAAAGGTTCATGTTCTGCGCGTGGTACGTATTGTACTCACCTCAAGATCGATCATCTCTCTCGGCTGCGGCGCTTCAGGACACTCGCCAGGGATTTCCAACATGGGGATGGAGTCCTTGCGAATTTCCTTCTCGAGATAACGAAGCTTGCGCTCCATTTCATCGCAACGGCGGACTTCATTGACGAACTTGCGTTGGAACGCATTCACATCGGGATTTAACTATTGGAAAACCAATTAACATCATTTAAACTTATATACAATTAACTATATTCCATCGAGTATATAACCAGAAACAGAGACGACATAAGGGCCATCCTTCCCTGGCAACACTATCATCACTAGGTATCACTTTTAAACATCAACTCTCGATTGCCCTGAAATCACAAATTAGAAAGCTGAAACAGCAGCACCAACAATTGACCTGTGTGTCGTCTCCGTATATTCTAAAAATATTCTGTATTTATTGTAATAAAGATAATAAATATCTTTAACAATGGGGACTGTTCCATTCGGTGGTATGGGAGAAAAAGCAAAACATCTAATTACAAGGTATGGGAAAAACAGCAAAACATCTAATTGCAAAACAAACGGAATCATATTTCATCGGTAATTCAATATTAAATACGTAATTTGTCAATTTTCGTCAATTATAGCAACGCTCAAATTAAACTGGCCGATTTGAAGTGAAACGATTGATGCCACACATCAATTGTTTCGAATTCGGGTTGGCCAATCGGAGCGCAGTTGTCACCGTAGTCATTTGGCAGAACAATTTTCAAACAAATTACATGACATTTCGTCTCTATTTCTGATTATACTCAATGCTATATTTAAACTGGAAGCAGCTACAATTACTGCCCTCCTTGCCTTAACGAACGCATTTGCATTTTGGCAACTTTCGAGATATTGGCACCTAAAGATATTTTCTTTAAAAAATGTCACTTACGCAGACTTTGCTTAACAATAAAACTAAATAAGATACAAAAAAAACCGCTTATAGGGGGTTGTAGATCTCATTTCGTTGATTCCCGATATGTTAACTCAATTTCGCTAAAAATTTCGGTTACGCTAGTTATTATAAGGAGGACAGATTAGAGTATGAATGGGATTTCAGTATTTTTCATTTCAGGTATAAAGTGTAAAGATAATCCTTCCGAGAGTGATATAGTTTCTATATCGCACAGTGACACAATGCAGAATTTTTATTTGGAGTAATGAACAATTAAAGTCCTGAAAATTGCGATAACAGCAATTTCTTAGTCAACGAAGGTTTTTGAATGCGCTTTTAAGCTAAAATAAAGGTACTACATAGTTTTAGAAGTATTATACAAATTTTCACCTACCACAATAAAATAAAGGTATCTTTGAGAATTTCGTTTAGTATCACTATACCTCATAATCTTTTCATGTAAATTAATATTTTTTATTATGCAATAACGTCATAAAAATTCATAAAAACAAATTTTTGCCATGAAATTTAATTTTAAAGTTCGAAAATACGAGGATAAATTACTCTATAACTTATCCACTAACCAGTGCAGGTCTAGTTCAGCAATCCTGCACTATATTAGTCTAAATACAAAACCACTGCTAAACGACACTATCCAAAAAATGACGATATCCTTAACAGAGTTACTAGTAAATTGTTTTACAACTCAGCAATCTCTGTCACTACCAAAAAAATGTCAGTATTGTACTGCCTCCTATGCCCCGTTCCCCTTAGACAGCATAAAGTCATTACGTCGTGTAGCAAATTCTAGGTAAACAACGTACATGGGGGTTTTTGCATTATAAAGTTCGTACTCTCAAATCCAAGACGGCGCGGCGTTAAATAGAAAAAAAATATTTTTTGTGTAGTGACGTCATCATTCTCAGTGTGCGATATATATTTGGGATCCATCTACACATAACTATAACCATGAATAGAAGCGTGGTAAAAATTGTATTTCTTAATGACGAAATCAGCATCTTTGACAAGCCTGAACAGCAACCTCATCAGGCTGAGAATAGGCAACCGTAGTAATTTGTGAATATAGCCTTCAAAGCTATTATCCTACAATAGCTTCATGTATATGATGACGAAAAATAGCCTCAAAAATAGTAACCATAAACTATGAATTTTGAAAGTTGAATTCAGTATCTGCCAAGGAAGAGATGATTGTGATATTGAAGCAAATTTCTCTTGCATAGAGAATGGCAACCTTAAAAGATTTAGTGGTATTATGTATCTACTTTTATGATGTGATAGTTAAATTCATGTACCTTATCGTAATTTTAGTTGTTATACTGTATGCAACGGGATCCCAATGTATCTATGAAATAAGAAATGGGGCTGCTAACATGAATACCACCACAAACTAACAAGAATTCTGCCGCCGTTAATTGAAAGGGCGCTTGTAACAAAACTCAAAACCGAGAAAATAATATTTAAAGTGAAATAAAAAGAAATATTAACTTTTCTCTTGCGGAAAATTCATACCTTACCTATGCACCTAGAAAAAAATAAAAATAGTGACAGATCGCCCTTTTTTATTGATCGCGACAGTATAAATATTTTTTTTTAAATGCCATAGGCGCCCTTCAATTAACGGCGGCAAAATTCTATTTGCTTAGAAAGCAAACTTGTAAGTGGATAAAGAGTACTTCCTGTCTTTCCTTGATTAATTTAATAAATAATAGACAAAATATATACCTATATATAATTTCATTAGGTATAATCTGATTAAATACCTAATGTTGATAATTGTAGACAAATTGAAGACAAATCATCATTCATCCAATTAATTGTGTCAGCCAAGACAATTAGTGATGGATAAACAGATTATTATTTAATCACAATCATGTGATTGATAACATACTACTTTTTATTTCCAAAAATCACATGACTTGAAACCTGTTCAGCTTATAAATGAATAATTCATTAATTCCTATAAAAAAAGGATTTTTCCTTAACACACACTAACAATAAGTATTGCTATGACACATGAACAAGTACATTTAAAGTAAATAATGTATACACCAGATCCTTTTATCACTATAAAAGGATCTGGTGTATACATTATTTACTATGATATGATTTATTATGGTATCAAATGTGTAACGACCTCGTGACACAGTCGGGCAATAAACTTCAGACAACTATGGGTTAATGATATTTATGAGTAATATTAATTTATAGGAATCATATTATTCAATAGACAACTATACAAAGAATAATATTAAATACTAGTTAATAACTCAAAACTTATTGCACGACATAGATTTTTTGTGTGTCAGTATTTTACAAAACTAAGAAAGTAATTTGTGGGTGTTCAAAAATTTTACATAGATAGAGTCAAAATTAGACAATTCAATTTTGGTTCTTGTGATAACAAAATTACTAGGAGGTTTCCTAGTTATTAATTTTTAGGGATATTGTGTCCAGGGAATGTTCCAAAATGAAATCTGCAACTTATTGTCAAATAAGGAACATTTTAGGTGGTAGTGACAATAATGTTAGTTGGTATTTAATTGTATACACTACATAATATATACAATTGCATTGAATGCATCATTTTGAAAATTTTTCTGGATTAACATAAAATAATGTAAATTTCATAGCAATATTCCTCCTTGTGCTTCTCTTCCACTACTGAACCTTGGCATTAAAGGTTTTTAACTTCAGAATAAACCAATTGCCATGGATATCATTAACTTGTGAAGCATTATTTCACAGGTTCAGGGAAAGTACCTTATTTAGTTCACGTAAATTTATTATGTCTCTTTATATATGAATAATACATCCCATTATATGAGAGATGTGTCCAATTATTAACCCAACATGGTATAAATATGTACAATTTGTAGAACACAAACCACAAACTTACTTCTTCATACAAAAATACATTAGTTACGATGAAATCAATGCAAATGCGTTTAAACCGTGTTATTTGAGTCGAGCAGCATCAAGTATAATCAGTAAACGACCCCATTGGGTCGTAGATTGAATGCAGTACACATCAACAATGTGTTTTTGCGAAATTGTAAGCACAAAGAGGGCGTAAAGAATACAAAGTAAGGGAAAATACTTACGTCACGGAACTGGACGAGACCCAGCTCTCCGAGTTCAGACACGCAGGCATACGCAGCTTCACTTTGCAGGAAAAGCTGACATAATGTCATCTCCTCACTCCGGAATAACGATCCCATTTTGCCCGCTTTTCACTGACACACACACAGTAAATATCAACTAATAAATTTACCTACTAAAAGGAAGGCTCCGTCGCATAAGTCTGCGGACAGACTTCGGCGGCGACGAAACCGAATAAATGACACGATCGATCGATGCGAAACCGTGAATGATTTTTCTTGGGAATCCGTCACGTCATTTTGTGCGCAACGCGGACATATGTTTTGGGATATCAGAGTGGCTTTCTTGGTCTCCCAACTATTTTGAATAATTGGTTTAAAAAAAATCTAAAAAAAATTTATCTTGCTCGAATTAGTATCACGAGTTGTGAAGGGCTGAAAAAATGCTTCATATTCTATTGAAAATTTAGAAACTTACTTGTCCACAAAACATTAGATTTTACCTAAGAAATTGGTAAAAATCGTTGGGCAGCATTTCTAGCCACTACACATTCAGAAATATACCTTCAGAGATATTTAATTTGGATGCTTCTGAACTCTTGAAAACACTTAATTTATTACTTTATACATGAAATTAAAAAAAAATATATTGCTACTTGCAACAATACAAAGCTTTGTTGGTTGTATAAATTTAGTATTGAATTAATTAGAAATGTAAAATAGAAATACAAAAATAAATTTAACAAGTTCACAACAATAATCTTGAAACAAGCTGTGTAAAAGCTACTCATAAATAAACCTACAAAATTAAAATATCCCAACGAATGACATCTAAACTATGTTTTCTCTTTCTTAAACGTATGATTATGTTCGTATATCTTTCTCAATGTAGGTCAATAATAATATGACTTTTTTATTTGTGGGATTAACGAGTGGGAGTTCAAAACTTCAAAATTGAGGTTAGAAGATCCCTAGGCTAGAATTAAAAATAATATAATAAATAGAAACTATGAATAGACATTGATGTGAATGAAAACTTATATAAAATGGTCTGTATCGTTTGATTATCTCTTGCACCTGATTAAGTTCCTTGATTTTATGCTTAAATTGGATAAATTTATACTTTCCAGGCATTACTAGGAGCTCAGTTGGTTATAACACTGATAATGGTGTCAGTGATACAGAAATTAGGGAGCTATTCATTTGCGAGATGGTTATTGTGTTCCCAAGGATTATATAGATATCTGTATCCAGTTAACAGTGAATTGAAGACATTAGCCGGTGTACCAAAAGATAAAGCAAAGAATAAAAAGGGAGGCAAAAATGAGACAAATGGAAAACCAGAGACGTTTCATGTGCCTCGTAGCCTAGACATACAATTGGAAACAGCGCCTGTAACTACCTTAGACGTAGTTCATCTCAGATATTACACAGAATATATTTGGATAGTTGACTTTTCACTGTATACCAGTACGGTTTATATTATGTCAGAGGTGAGTTTATTAACAGTATACTATATACTTAGTGTCAGACAACCATACAAATTACCTGGTGTCTAAACTAGGAAATCCTTGTGGTATGTTCATACTCTGAAGTGTGTGAACAATAGTTTTGTTGTTTTTCTAAGTACAAGAGCAACAATAATTTTGTCGCTCTTCTAAGTACAAGAGCAACAAAATTATTGTTGCTCTTGTGAGCACAAAAGCAACAATAAGTTTGTTGTGTTAAATTAACTTTGGATGTGCTACATAGAACACCCACCACATTTAGTGCTCGCATTGCTGACCAGTAGGCCACTAACATTATAATAATTGTCCTTGTATTATATTGTCACTGGAAAGGCGAAAGTACTCAAGCGCCAATTTGGCCTTTTGGATGTTAGTAATTTTGCCTTTCCAGTGAGATATAGTACAAATATTTTTGTGTACTTTTCTAAAATGATATATTACATGGTTAAAGTTTTCATTGCTCAGCTTGAAATCAACCTTATTGATCCTTGACATATAGAATTTTATAAAATTCTTACACTTGTTTGTTTTTCAGGTGTATACATCAATATTTCCATTGAAAGACGAGTTCAACCTGAGTATGGTGTGGTGCCTGCTGGTTGTACTGTTTTCATTGTATCCTTTTCAAAAGACTTTGTGTTGTATCTCAAAAATGTACATAACTAACCTGTCCTGATAAGTGATAAAGTATCTATAAAGGATATGTTCTTTATGAATTTACATATAGCGAAATCACCTTAATCCTTAAAGTAAAAGAAAAAATAATTGACAAGAGTTGCACATTCCATGAGTTTATTAACAGCTTTGAACTATGAATATTTATGAATGGGATGTAGAAATAGGCCACTGTAGATATAATAGAAAAATATCAAGTTTATGAAAAAGGTTAATTGAACAAAAATGACAAAATATAGTTATATTTTCAACATTTGTTTGTATCTATTAGCTAATAACTTGGTCGATTACTGTATCAAATTTATTTTCTATAAGACACTGTTGGTATGGTATGGTGTAAAAGGCTGAATTCTTTGCGTGTGTAGGTTCAGGAACCGACTCATGCCACCTGAATTCCTCCAAGAACCTCAGCACCCTCTTGGGTTTGTTGAAGTATTCAGGGAGTGATCTCAGCACTCCAAGGTGTTTCGCTCTGTAGTTTTAGTAGCAGTTGAGGTCCTTATGAAAGAGTTCGTCCGGGGAAGTACTGCCAGCTTACCTATTTTAACACCCAGCTTTGATGTGAACATTATTGGGTTACAGTTTTGAAGGGCAAGGGTGCTGATGAAATAACAGGGACGTGTGACTTGTCAACTTATGTCTCTAGGTGACGGGCGCAGCGGCTGTGCCCCTCAGATATTTGTAATTTAAAGCTGTGAGTGACAACTGTAACTGCTGGACATGCGTGTCGCTTATGACCAGGCGCATGACTTGTTCGTCCCGTCACTTGGTGTCATAAATAAAAAATTTGCTGTTACTTCCTCCTCCATGCACTCTCTGCATAGTGGGCTGTCCATATACCTTAATTAAAAACATGTTTATTATACAGAAGACATTGTTACATTCAGAATAACAAAGTCTTGTCAAAACTTTAACTCATTCTCAGTAAAATCCTTCTATCTCTAACAAAGCAATACTTTACAAGCGAGGAATCAATGGGGGAGAGATCAACCTGCATTGTGGCTTTCTGTGCATTTCTTTTGATTGCCATGATGGTACTCATTGTGGATGAGTCTAATCTTGAAGTTGGTGTTGATCCAGCTTATGACAGTTTTTATGATAATGCTTCCAAGTTTTTGGAGAACCAGGGCCTGACTTCTGTGTAAGTTTTAATTATTATGTATAAAAATTATAATTATTAATACCAAGATTGAACACAGAAAAAATCCTTCGATCTGACAGGATTCGAACCTGCACCTGTATGCCAATGTAGGGCAACGCTCTACCAACTGAGCTACAGATAGAGTCAGCAGACCTTACGAATTTGTTGTTACGAATTGTGATCTTAGTTTTTGGTTTTAACACTTTTTGTCACCACCTTTGAGGTTTTTTTGACTCAGACGTACCTTTACATCAAAGAAAACAAAGTAGTAGAGTAATTAATTACACAAAAAGAAAACAATAATAATAATATCACGGTAGCAAAACATCATCATATTCAATAAAATCAATTTTACATGTGTAAAAATTCTTACATTTTTATTTATATGCATTATTTTTAGTCTTACAATACTGTTGTCTAATGTCAAATTATTTGACTTAAATTTTTACAGAAATTAATTATTGCATTGTTGACCTATTTATTAAACCTGTCAGTTTGCTACTGCAATTAAAAGGTAACCTTAACTCTTTAGATGTAAGGTTAGTAATTTAGTGAAGACATTGTTTCTCACATTCTATATTTTAATTGTCAGGGGCCTTATAATGAACATATAGGTTCGTAAGGACAAAAAAGCGGGATGGTGATATACACTTCATGTATCATGTAGCGCTGTCTCACAATTATTCATTTTAGGTCCCAAACTGAATCGTAATAAGAGTTCATGGTAAGGCCCCAGGTGACTGAGAAATTTTTTTCAAATATTACATTAGAATGAAATGGACTATCAATTAAGTTCCCATTTCCTTAAGATCCGAGTAGTTACGAAACAAGGACTTGGTTAATAATACCATAGTATAATAAAACAAGTATGGTAACTCCATTCATACACTGCTGCGCGGCTTATATGTGTGCACGCTCGCCACCCGCCGTATACGGACGCACACATTCGCATAATAATGAAAGGCGCATGGGATGACCATGATCAGCGCTATATTGTGCTATGCGAGTGCTTCGCGAAATTATGCGAATGTGGCGTCCGTATCCGGCTCGGGGCGGGCGTGCACACATACCTATCCAGCATTTTTTTAAATGGAAATACTTACGTTACTTGTCTTATTATATGTATATTGTTTTTTTTATTAACCTATTATGTCCCATTGCTGGGCAAAGGTATATAGTATAATAAGATAATACTATACTAAGATACCAGCCTAAAGTTTGTCTTAAGATTATAGATTATATTTATAGCTCAAAAAGAGCTATATATGATTAAAAATGCTTTCGGAAATCCAAGCATTTGTAATAAAAAACTTGTTTAAGCTATAGTGTGTAAAATATATACTTAAAACAATTTTTAAACTATTTAATTGCAGAGGACCTGCTTCAAAGCTCATACTGAAGTTTTCTTTAGCTGTATGGGCTGCGATCATTGGGACCTTGTTCACATTCCCTGGTCTCAGAATAGCTAGGATGCATTGGGATTCACTTAGGTAAGATAAGTGAAGACAATGTTCTTCGCAGCTCTAAGCATGTGTGTATACCTTATGTGTTAAAATACTGTTACACTAATTTGTGAAGTTACAAATTTTCACATAACTAATTAAAACAGTTACTACATCTTTGACTGACTAAACTAACTGACCTTGCAATATGGCACTTTGTGTGCTGTAGTGCTCATTACACAAATAAATAAACCTATTTAAATTGATTCAAATCAAATAATTTATTTCTTTATCTACACACGTATCATAAACTCTCTATGTGTTCAAAAACCGAATAATTACAACCAGCATAAAAGTAAACTGTTTTGTTATAACAAATTTCTTATCTGTGAAAATGTTATGATAGCTTCCCTCTAAGCCGGCAGGAAACCACCGGGGGGTTCACGCCATTTTGAAAGAAAAAGTCCTCAGACGCGCGAAGCCACCGGTGGGTTCACTCGCCCAGACGATTATAAACCGGTTTTTAATAAAGATAGAGTCTACGTTTGTTTGAACAACTTTTGATAATAGACAAGTATAGTAACTGTTTCGTTCATTGCATAGCCAAAAAACATTCGTTCATTTAAAAAATACGGAGAAAAAGCTGTTCGAATCTGTGGTAAAACTTCGTTCGCGAGAAGTAACATTGTGGTAACAGTGCGTTGTGAAATCTTTATTTTATCAAAGTAAATGCATTATTTTATGTAATAACTACTATATTTTATGTTATTTAAGGAATGATAAAGCTATTTACATAATTGGTTTTGTTAAATTCGTAGTAGTTTTAATGCTATCAAGCTCAAATACCGGCAACAATTTTTGGCATTTTCATTGGATTTCTGTACAAATTTAGCTAAAAATGATTGAAAAAGGCTGCATAATGATATTAGCTTCACTGCATTACACATTCTTATAGATAAATTATTTAGAAAGCCAATTCCTTTTACAGAACTAGGCTAAGTGGTGTAGTTATTATTTGAGGAGCATTTATCTGAAGAGCGACCTAAATCAATTACGGCGCGAGGTGCGCGGTGTGTGAAATATGAACCGTCATTAATTTGACAGTTGAAATTCCGTTGGCTGAAGGGTTAATTAGCATCGAATTCGATGTTATTGTTACATTCAAATTTCCAACATTTCTGAAAAACAAAACAATTTGATTTGACCTCAATTCTAATATCAGTCGAGATGAAGTTTTATTCGAAATTAAATGTCAATAGCAAACAATTTCGACATTTCACACGTTATGTGATATCGAACGATATGATCGTTGGGGCCGTTTCTAGTTTGTCTATGAATTAAAAATAAAAATTACGGTTGTATGACATGCATGATAAAAGTTTTTATTTGCCGCCATTTCGCCGGTCGTAATATGCGGTTTCTGAACACATCACAGAGAGCTTATAATATGTGTTTAGATAAAGCAGTGTATGTAACTGTACATAATTATCGAGTTCTTAGGTTTTCGCGATTGTTACACATAGGAAATGAAACTATTTTTCCGGATTTAAATCGCGTATATTTGTTTTTTCAAACAAACCGACGTTTCGGGCCCTTTACAGGTCCCATGGTCACGGTTGATCATGGGTACGGTTGGTCAGTCAACCGTGACCATGGGACCTGTAAAGGGCCCGAAACGTCGGTTTGTTTGAAAAAACAAATATACGCGATTTAAATCCGGAAAAATAGTTTCATTTCCTATGTACATAATTAGGCATTAAAACACTCGTGAGATGTTTTTATAAACCCACACTCGTATTTTAATACCTTTCATTATGTAACAGTCACATAAACTACTATTATGATACTCAGGTTATAAAGGCGTTACAACAATTAATTTTGAATCACTGTGATCCTCCTTGCGGCATATAAAGTTTTTATGTAATTCTAATGCAATAATTTTTAAATATACTAAAGTCTAATTACTAATAAATTTAGTAGGTTTGTCTAATAAAAAAAAATTAAAACAGAAGAACACATGAAATGTAAATTTTATAAAAAATCTTCAATAACATGGTAAAATACATTGACCTGTAGGTCAATGGTAAAATGACATAATTAAATAATATTTTTTTGAATACTGCACCATTATTACTATTCCTAATTTCATGTGGAAGTTTTCTGTAGACTTTCGTACCTTTTACAATTACACTCTTTTGAAGTAGAGCCGTTTTACATGATCAGTTGATTGATTTTGCTCTAGCTGTTGAGGGGCTCTACTCTCGTTCTCCGTTCGATATCCGTCCGAAACAATTACTGTCAAAAAAGTAATATTTACTCGAACAAATTAAAAGACAATGTGAAGACAGTATGAAGCTTCATTCGCATCATGCGTCTTTTAATTTAGTCGAGTATTACTTTTTCTTTTATCAAAAATAAGTGCACATTTTGACCTTCATCTCACCTGATGGAAAGTGAAGATGAGGTCGACGATGTAGCATGCACACCTAAATAATGCCTATTCACTCTCGCCTTGAAAAGGTCCAAGTTATAGCGTCCGGGGCATACGTCCGCAGGCAAGGAATTCCACTCTCTAGCGGCTCGCCATATAGATGTGGAAGCGAAACGTTTCGTGCAAATCCTGGAAATATCCACAACATGGGGTGGATTCCAAGGTCACGTCTAGTCCCTCGATGATGGAGAGGGGAAGGCAGAATCAAATTATGCAATTCCATCGCACATTCTCCGTGATATATTCTGTAAAATACCGATAAGCAGCCAACTTTACGGCGGTGTTCAAGGCTCTGCAGCTTCGCCTTAACTAATTCCGCGTCACCTATAAGCCTTTTGGCACGCTTGTCGATTGAATTCAAGGTGGCCAGTTGGTATTTAGCAGAGCCATCCCGTAAGTGACAGCAGTAATCCATACAGGACCGGACTTGTGCTTGGTACAGCTGAAGCTACTGTCCCGGTGTGAAGTAACGCCTCACCTTGGAAGGGATGTCAAGCATCTTGGTTGCATTTTTGGCCATGGATTCAATGTATCTGCCGAAGTTCAGATTGGACGACAGGTCCATTCTAAGTAGCAGGAGATGGTCGGCTATCGGTATGGAAACTTATTTGACAGTAATTGTTTCGGACTGATGTCGGACGAAGAACAGGAGTAGAGGGCCTGATTAGTGAATCCGAAGCGAATTCCCTAGTTTTCCACAATTACACTATTATTATTACTAATTTATTAAACCCTTGATTTTGCTTGGAATTTAAAACACGTTGCTTGAAGTTAAATGTGCTGTATAAAGGAAAGAAATAAAGAATGAAACATTTATTCGGCTATTCACAACTAATATTAGAACATAATAACTACAACACCTGTTGAAAAAAAAGAAGATAACTACTAGATTAAAAACTAAAGTACACAATATTGGCCGACAAGGTTAGCCAACTCAGCTCTAAGCTGGGCAGAGCCTTAAAGCTAGTTATCAGCTGGAGCCTAAGAAGAGATGCCTACAGATTTGCCTGATTTTTGGTGATCGACACGTGTGATACAAAATCGAGTCAATTTGTAAGGGAGTCACCACATCTATTACACGGAATCGGCTTGGCCGATCAGAAAAGCTTTTAAGCAATAAGGGCAGAAAAGCTGTTACGCGTTTGGCTTCCGCACGTTTCGAAACGCACAGTCCTTTTCGTTCTTATTACATGGATATTTATTTGGACATATTACGTTTATTCTGACCATCGAGTATATAACCAGAAATAAGGGCCATATATTCCTGGTAACACATTAGCGATACAGCTCTTATAAATATCAACTCTCGTTTGCACTGAAATATAGACAGGCCAACTACTGACAATGTGTGTACGGCTGCGTATATTCCAAAAAATATTCTGTATTTTTTGAAATAAAGATAATATCTCTAACAATGCCGTGCTGATCTATTCGGTGGTGTGGGAAAAACAGCAAAACTTATAATTACCAAACAAACGGAATCAAATTTCATCGGTAATTAAATATGAAATATGTAATTTTGCAATTTTCGTCCATTATAGCAAAGCTCAAGTTAATTGGTCGATTTGAAGTGAAACAATTGACGACACCCAGTAATGACACCCGTCAATTGTTTAGAACTCGGGCTAGCCAATCGGAGCGCAGTTGTCACCGTAATGATAATAGAAGTTTTCAAACAAATTAAACGACATTTCGCCTCTATTTCTGGTTATATACTCGATGATTCTTATTCTGACCGGCTTAATGCGATTCAGTGTCGATGTGTGCAGTAAATTCCCCAAGAAGTAGATAGTCGTTATCTTATTTTTTGTACATGTCGATCGTCAAAAATCTTTAAAGATATCTTCAAACTTTTATACATTTTAATCTATTTAACGGTTAGGGCGTAATTAACTTGATCCATCGATCTTACAGTCTTAGTTAAAAAACACCTAATGTGTATTACAGATACTACAGTGAAAACAAATGGAAGGCAATGCTTCTCAATCTGAACTTCGCCATGCCGTTCGTATTGACCTTGTTGTGGATACGGCCTGTAACAAGGCACTATTTGACTGTACGTGTCTTCTCTGGGATGGAGAAACCACTGTGCGTACAAAATCTAAATAGAACATACACCTTTCTTTAAGAACTTTAAAGCCAGCAACCCATGAGTGTCTAATCTGTTGCTGTAAATATATGTGGATGATGAATGGCGACTACATACTATCAATTGACCCGTCTCTTTCTTTGCCAACTTTATATAGAAATTGGAAATGAAACTATTTTTTAACCGACTTCAACTCGATTGTATGTTTTCTTTTATATGTATGTATGTATGTTACGTATTTGTGTTACCGATTTTGATGAATCGATTTTTTGTTGGAAAGAGGATACCTCAGTAGTGGTCCCTTTTAAATTTGAAGAAAATATTTCACCTCTAAGGTTGGTAAACTAGGGGATGAATCCGGTTTCGCCCACTTTCCGGTTACCGATTTTAATAACTTGGCAAATGGATGTATATCCACGAACTTTTGAAGCCGGTTTTTTTAGTACTCTGTACTGATTGCGGATGTAAATTGCGTATATTTGTTTTTTCAAACAAACCAACGTTTCCGACTAGTCATATCTAATATTAATGCTATATGGATATAAAGAAGCATTCTCCTGCTATTTTAAATAGAAAACCACCGTGAGACTCAGACGTATTAATTAAAAATAACGGATAACTCACGTGTTTAAGTCGAATTTTTTGTTTAAATGAAAGAAAAAAATTGTATAAATGATTAATTAAAACAATTAAAATCACGGTTATAATTGTTATTTTTGTGCGAAGATGAGTTTGTGTACTTGCATAGAATAGCTGCTTTAGTTTATAATGTTCTGCTAAACAATGTTCTCTGCAGAATTCTACAGGAATATGCAGCCTATCTTTTTGTTTTAAATTTAAACTAAGTGGTAAGTGCCACGCCTATCTATAACAGTTGCAGTGCCACCCAGAGCTTTAAATCACAAAGATCTGAGGGGCACTGCTACTGCGCCCGCCACCCTGAGACATAAGTATACAATAGACTCAGTGGTTTAGGATACAGGAGGCATTCGTTCTCCCAAATAGAATTGAACTAGATATGCAACTAATTTTTCGGATCTAAAATGAGTTGTTCGTCCCGTCACTTGGTGTTATAAAAAGAATGTTTTGCAAATCTAATGATCGGTTTCATATTTCAGTATGACAAGCCAAGCGTTCGACACAATGCGTCTCTTGCTCGTGGTATTCACTGTGGTGCTCCGGGTTGCGCTGATGCCGCGTCAGTTGCAGGCATATCTTGACATGGCGCAGCGCCGCCTCGACCTGCAGAAGAAAGAGGCTGGGCGGATCACCAATATCGATCTGCAGAAGAAGGTCTCATCTCCGTATTTTTTTCCGTTTGTATGCTTCCTAAAAAAAATATTATTATTTTTTCCCCCCACTTCAAAAAAGGAGACTTAATTCGACTGTATTTTTCTTTTTTTTTGTGTGTGTATGTTACGCGATCGCTCATTTATTTTTTTACCCATTTTTTTGATTACCGATTTTTGTGATTCTTTTTTGTTGGAAAGAGAATGCCTCAGTATTGGTCCAATTTAAATCTGAAGACAGTGGCAAACTAGGGTTGAACCCAGTGTCGCGTACTTTCCGATAACCGAGTTCAATAAAACTTGGCAAATAGATGTAATTTCACGAACTTTTCAAGTCGATTTTTAAAAAAGAACAGTTATAATTATTTATTTGTGATATTTTTAATTGTCCTCTTAAATTTCAGATTGCTTCGGTTTTCTACTACTTGTGTGTCGTCGCTCTCCAATACATATGTCCTATTGTCATGTGTTTGTTCTTTGCACTAATGTACAAAACTCTAGGGGGATATAGTTGGGTCGCCTTATTCTACGAGGTAGAGGAAACTAGCTCTATTGTGGATGATAGACTACCAGTGGATACCGTAGACGGCGTGGAGCAATACCAACTCGCTTGGGAAAACTTAAAGACGGTAAGTTAATCTGTTATTACTATAAATAATTCATGCCTGTTTAAAGTGTAGTCAGCGTCGAGTATATAACCAGAAATGGAGACAAAATAAGGGCCATCCACCCCTGGCAACTCATCAGGCTAATGGGCCTTATATAACTTTTAAATCAACTCGCGTTTGCGCCAAAATCACAAATTAGAAAGCTGAAATAGTATAGCGCCAACAACTGACCTGTGCGTACGTCTCTGTATATTCCAAAAATATTCTGTATTTATTGTAATAAAGATAATATCTCTAACAATGGGAACTGTTCCATTCGGTGGTGTGGAAAAAACAGCAAAACATTTAATTACAAAATAAACTGAATCACATTTCACAGGTAATTAAATGTTATATTATGTATTTTTTAAATTATCGTCCATTATAGCAAAGGTCAAGTTAAACTGGTCGCTTTGAAGTGAAACAATTAACGACACCCGTGTTTCGAATTCGGGCTGTCCAATCAGGGCGCAGTTGTTGTCGAAATGATTTGGCAGAATAATTTTCAAACAAATTAAATGACATTTCGTCTCTATTTGTGGTATATACTCGATGTTAGTCAAAAAGGAAAATTTAATTGCGATCGTCATTGTAAGTGTTAAAAACTGACTTCACTTCTGCCCTCCTTATCATAACTAACTGGATAGGTTCCTTGGAGTATGGGGCGCCAAGGGTACCGACACATTTGCCCCATTCCATCTCCGGCACACCACCATGAGGGTTGGCTCCGCAGCTGAGCTAGCGGAAGGAATAAAAAGTAATAAGTACTAGGACCTTGGTTCCGACTACCTATTTACACCCTTTGGAATCGAAACCCTTGACCCGTGGGGTCCCGGTGCCCTTCATCTGTACTACATTTTGTCCAAAAAATTAATAGACGGTCTGGGAAAACCAAGGGCAGCTACTTTATCCAACGCATTAGCATACTACATATAAAGGGGGAACGCTGCCAGTATCTTGGCCACTTTGCTGCTGGGACCCAATTTTATTCATACAATATAATCCTAGTTGTACTTTATATATTTAAGCTTTTATTGTAACTAACTTAATCGTCATTTTTAGCGAAATTGAGTTATTAACATAATCTGGAATCGGCGAAAATGTTTAGTAGCAAACCTTACGTATTTCTACCGCCAAGCAGTAATGAAGGGACTTGTCAACTTATGACTCAGGGTGACGGGCGGACGGGGAGTGCCCCTCGGATTTTTGCGTTTTAAAGCTCTGAGTGGCACTGCAACTGTTATGGACAGGCCACTGCGCCTGTTATCCTAAGACATAAGTTGGTAAGTCCCATGTGCCTGTAATTTCACCGCTATTTCGTATTTAGCAGAACCATACCATAGTGGCAGCAGTACTTCTCCACACGTGACCGGACTTGTGCTTGGTACTGTTGAGTTAAGGCAA